TACGCCGCAGCAGCAGAGGGCATCACAGATCCTTTTGGGATTTGAGTCGAGGTAGGTGGTCTGCCGATCTACTGGCGTGCGACAACTGCAACGACAGGCGGTTCTTTGTGGTGTGCGCTCTGCGGCACTTAGGCTGTCTCTCTTGCGTGACCTTCGCCAATGTCTCCTTCTCCCTCTCTCTCTCGCTCTCTCTCTCTCTCTCTCTCTCTCTCTCTCTTTCTCTGTCTCTCTCTCTCTCTGTCTGTCTCTTTATGCATCCCTGGCGCTTAAGGTTTGTTACGCCATTTGGCACCTCTTGTCGCTGCTGTCTTGTTTCGCAGCACAACAACGGCAACCCGAGTGTATTGCAGCGCTTGTGGAGGCGCTCCGCCTGTGCCGCTGCTTCGTTGCTGCCTGGGATGACTTAACACTGCAATTAGCTGGAATGCTGTATGCAAACGGTCTTGGCGCACCGGCTGCGCAGTCCCTTGAAGGGAGTGGTCGCCTTGCTCCCCACTCTGCTCGTTCCCCCGGAGCAGCGTCAGCCGCTGAGGGATCCGGAGACAGACTCAGCGGAGTGGCGTGGCAGCAGCGACAGGAGGAGCAGCAGGCTATGGAAACTGATCGTGGCGTGCTGCCTGAACGCGATCAGAATAGGCCCCTTAAGGACAGCCTCAGAACCAGCAGTTCACAGCAAGCCTCAGAGGACGCCACCGCTGCAGAGCAGCCCCTGCTGCAGCACGCACAGCAGGCACAACGGGAGAAGCAACAGCAGCAGCAGCAGCAACAGCAACAGCAGCAGAATGCGTCTACGGGAGAGGAGGAGGCGTGGGGAGGCTGCGTAATATCAGCAGCCGCTGCCACGGCAGCAGCTGCCATCGCAGCGGAGGCTTTGGGGGGATTGCCGCATGGGGAAGCCTGCCTCGATACGGCGTTTTCTGCAGACAACGGAAGCTCCGCTACGGCAGCTGTTGTTAACTCGCTTTGCAATGACGGTGCAGATTACAACTGGGTAACAATAAAGGCCTTGGGATCGTGGAATAGGGGCTTTCATGAAATCATCACACCTGTGATCTGCTCGAGAAATCCCGTGCTACAAATCAATGTTTCCTGAGAGGGACCTTTCCCCTATGAAGCTGGCTGCTCGACAGCGCATGGATGCAGTCGCAAATTAATATGCGCTTTCACGACACTCACACAATGAAGGCGACAGCAAGGCCTGCAAAGGGGGCGGCTACCCGCGTACATCCATGCCTTGTGTTTCTTCTGTTATGTATATATATATATGAATATACATATATTCATACATATATATGTACATATGTATTTATCTGTGCATACATTTGTATGTGTATGCATGGATGTATACACATCTCCGCTGTGACAAGCCATAGAGATATCTGGATTAGCAGCACATTTCTATGCAGTGTCAGTGTACCCCGAAGCTCCACTATGTTTAAACCATGATGGACGCGCTTGTTTTCAAACATTCCGTCTCCTTATTCCACGCACTAGGAGACTTTCGCTGCGCGTGTGGTGGGGGCTGAAGCCTGTGTGAAGTTGGCGTCATGTGTGGTGCGTGCTCAGGCAACGCCCTCGTTTCTTTCTGAACAACTCCTTGGTGCCTCTCGTTCTGCGTTCCTGAAGGCCTTAGGACTGCCTGCTGCTGGGGTGTACGGCGAATTTTTTTTTGCAGTCTTTTGCCTGAGGACGAACCGCTTCGCTGACGCGGCTGCAGAGCTCGCGCACCTCTCCGTGGCATTTCCCAAATGCCCTTTGATTTTGGCACAGGTATGCAGGCGCATGCAGTCCCACCAGAGTTGGCAATTTCGAGGGGATGGGAGGGCGCTTATGAACGGCAGCAACAATTCTTCATTCGCCGAAGAAGATCCGGCTGACCAGTTGTTCTGGGGTATTTTGCCGTGTATTACAGCCCAATTGTGGCGGAAGAGGCTTATTTTGCTGTGGTGCAGCTCTTCTGCCACGCTGTGGACTGCTGCGTTTCCCGTGTTTGATGCGCGCCGCCCCCACACCTTCGTCTCTTTTTCTCTCTGACTCACTCTCTCTATGCTTCCTGCTGCGTGTGCTTCTATTTGTAGCTTGCGAAGTGCTCGTGCGAGTTGGGGGACGAGAGCAGGGCCCTCGAATTCTTTTCCTTGCTAGGAGAATTGTAGGCTACATGGCTTCGCATGCGCGGCGATTTCCCCCCTGCCACCCTCGATCTCCCTGCCTCCTTTCCCCATTTCGCTGGCCTCTTCCCTTAAAGCGTTTGTGCTCTTGAGAGAGGGCGCATGCGCTTCTCGGCAGAACGCCACGACGACTCCGAGGAGGACTCCCCACACACACGCCTCGGTGCTGCGTGTTGGTGTCAATGCGCATGCACTGCCTTTACTTCGCACCTCAGAAACCCTTCCCGTCTGGACTTTGTCTCTGATTTCGCGCGGTTGCTAGTGGCTCGGCAAGATCTACAGGGCCTGCAGAGGCTGGCAGAGAGGGTAAGCTTGACGCGAAGCGAACACGCAAGCCTCCATGAATGGCATACACTGCAGAGCCTCTTAGCGGAGGCTCAAAGCCTCGCCTTTTGCAGAGGTTTCAAGAAAGAAGCGCTTGTTTCAAAAGGCGATCCTCAACAGAAACGCAGCAGCAGCAGCGGCCTAAGCAGGCAAACAGCCTCATCTTTTTCCTTCGCGTCTCCTTGTTGACTCCAGTCAAGGGTCGTGGGAATTCTCCTTCACGACTTTCTTACTGTTCGCATGGGCAGCAGCAGGCCTGCACAAAAACAGATGAATGCATCGAGGGCTCCGTGTGGCTGCGTTCTGAGTGCATGTTGCGTGCTTCTTTCCCCTGCTGATGGTTCTGCAAACACGTGTAGCCTTGCACAGGAGACTCCTCCTTGCCACCCCTGCTTAGACCGCTGCTCTCCGCTTTTCGACGACTCCCGCCGCAAGGCTATTCTCCTCCACTCTACGGGCTGCGCGCTGCAACCGCCCCTTCCTTTCTCCTCACAGCTGTTCAACGCAAATCCTCCTCAGTACTGGCGTTCCTGTACTGCTTTCCGTTGCAGTGTCAAGAAGTCTCCCCAGGGTCCTTTGGCACGCTTCTGGTGTCTGCACACCTCGCGCGTTTCGGGGGATCCCAAGAAGAGGCCGTCGAGATTCTGCATGCCGCAACGGCACTCAACCCAACGTACGCTGCTGTGCCTCTTGGGGTAGTTGTGAGCATTCGGCTGTGAAATCCTGGCGTCACGTTTCTCCAGACCTTTTCTCGAATTCTCCTCAGTTTGTCTTCAAGAGTTGGGATCTCTCCGAGGGAGACGAAATGCCTGCATATGTCTCGGGCTTTTCCGCTGCACCTGCGTGCTCCTGTGGCGAGCAACTCTCCACACCGAGCGATCCTTGCGCGCTTCCCCAGCCTCGCAGGAGATGCAAGCCTGAGATATGGGGACTTGCTGCAGTTTCGAGGCTTCCTGCGAACTGTGCCTGTTATTAGGGCAAGCGAAGGATGGTGCATGCTCGGATCTGCGTATATCGAGATGGGGGATCTCCTTTCCGCCGCAAGGGCCTTTGCCGCAGGGGCGGCAGCAGCTCCTGCTGCAGCGGCAGCACATCTGGGAAGCGGCCAGACTCAGGCGCTTCTTCACAACTGGGCGGCTGCCGAAAGACTCTACTTCACGGCCGTTAGATGCAGGTACTCTCGGCAGCAAGCGGATTTGGTGGACGCTTCGAGATTCAGGGGACAGCAGCGAGTGGCGTTGCAAACGCAGACGTTCCCTACACACAGACAGAGCTCCTAGGGGGTGACGGGGAGCGCAGACTTCCAGAAAGCTGTGTGTGCTGCGCAGCTGACAAGAATCCCAAATTTGGTCTGTGGGGTGTCGGATGTGTGGATGTAGGCCAGACTTGCCGATTCTATGGTGGCACCTTGGGACTGCGCAAAAGGAGCAGAACAAACTTTCGAGTGCCCTGAGAAGCTTTCAGCAGGTGAGGCTTCCCTTAGGAGAGAAGAGGGGCCTCCTCGACATCAGGAGCTGTGTTGGGCAAGATATCCAAGTCTTGAGACGACGCTATCCGCCGATAGGCTGCGATTCGAACATGGCAGTCGAAGAGGGCAGGGAGGGGAGCACAGTGGACGGGTATGCGCTAGTCTCGAGGCTGTAGGGGCTGCTTGGTGCGATGTGTTCCTACGCTGCAGTGCTGGCTTCTTGCAGAATCTACTGAAGCCGCTGCAGAGTGTTTCGGATGCGCTATGGTAGGCTTATATCTGCAGCTTTACATTCTCTTTGCCTTCGTGACCCTTTAGGAGGCAGCTTTCTAATGTTGCTTTGTTGTGAGGCTTTTTCCGTTCATCCTGCATGCATGCGCATATATTGCAGATGTTGCGGCTCCTGGGGACTGTGGGGCCTTTGACTCCGGCGGTTTGGGCAGAGCGTCTTTTCGAGGGGTAAGGCCTTCTTAGCGTTTCGATTAATAGCACCTCTAAGCAATTCTTACGCTGGTAAAGCCTCAAGCATCTTTTATTAAGCCTTATATTGTGGAAACGGTTGTTTCGCATGCGCCGTACGAGGCTTTAAGGAGTCTGGACAAGGGTCTCTTGAGGAGGGCCTCTTGAGGTGGCTGTACCTATCCTTGATACAGCGCATGCCGGAGACGGGGGAGGGGGTAGGAAACGGCGTGAATAGGCTCTATGAAGCTCGCATCACCACGCGGTGTCTTCGCATGCAGGGCATGCGTGCAGGTGTGCACTTGTGGTGTGCGATTTGCTTTGCCGCTCAGCTATTTAGCGAAGGTGCTCTCTCTCGAAGGCTCAGAACCGTCGCGTCTGCTGCTCCGAAAATTCTACTGCGGCGCGGTAAGGCCCATTTGGTAGCTGCAACAGCACAGGAAGGAAGGCAGAAAAAGAATTTTAAAGAGGGCTTCAGGCAGCAGCTCCTGCTCACCCAGTGTGTTGAGCTTTTGAAAAGGCGTGCGAAGGTCGCGGGGTGCCTTTGAAAGCCACATGAGCGGTTTTCTTCGTATTCATGCAGCTCAACTACCTTCCAGTATTGGTATTCGTGTCTGCTGTGCATGCATGTATGTGTGTGTAGAGGCCGAGGGATGGGCGTCTTGCGGCTGCCCTTCAAAAAGCCCCGGAAGCTGTTCTAAGGGCAATTGCCTCTCTTGCAGTGCACTACCAAACGGAGGTGCATTTTAATCGTCTGATAGTTTTCTGCTGCTCCGCATGAAATATTTTCCTTGCCTTTACTTGCGTCAGCTGGCTTGTCCGTTTCTACGCCATAGCACCTTCTTGTAGTGTAACTCCCTAGCCACGAATCGGTATCGTTTTCTCTCCTCTTTTTTCATGGCCTTTGCATACGGATCGCCACTGCTCTGTCTTCCTAAGCGGGTATTTTTTTTCTTTCTGGCATTTTGTCTATGTACCCCGACTCCGGCGTGCTTGTCAATGACCCCTCTTGCCCGCAGCTATCTTCGGGCTTAACAGGGACCATCTGCCGCTTTATTCTGTTCAGTGATTGCCCTGCAGACAGTGCGTATGCTTCTCACCTTTACGTGTTGGTGATGAATTGCATTGAGGCTTTATGTGAGACAGTTCGTGGGTTACTCGTTGCTTGTTCTTCCTCCTTTTCGCATACGGGTCTCCGTACATTTCTGTCTGGGAGTGCACTTTGGCTTGCATTTTTTGTTAGGGAGACATGGAGGCTTCACAATTTTATTCGGAGTTGTTGGACAGCTTTGGCGGTGCGTATGATTCTTTGCACTGCAACTTTGACCCCGCCTGCATTTCCTTTTACAAATTACAACCTCCTGCGTTTACCCTGCTCGGCATGTTTTTCTTACTTTCTTGCTCATTTTTTGGTGCCCTTCGGCACAATCTTTATGTAGTTCGTACAAGTCGTACCGCTGTCCGCTTATATCGTAATGGCTAGTTGGCGGCTTCTCGTATGCTCGCGGTTATGTGTTTAGCATGCAAATTCCGTTGGATGGTCAGTTTCTCTGTTTTGTGCTCAGGTTTGGAGAGAATGAAACGCTTTCTCTGACCGGTTTTGCACGAGGCGCCAACAAGACGACGAGTGCTTGTATCTATATTTCCGCCTCTTTCTTGTGTTTTCATGGCCTGTATGACCAGGAGTCTGGGATAAACCGCATCGAAATGCAATAGCATCAAGATCTCTCATTTTATTAACTCCTGATTCCTGTACCCACTTATATTTCTCTATATGCGTTCCGCTGCTCATTTTTTGTTTTTTTATGTTCCTTTCTATCCATTGTTTCTTGCTTTATCGCGTTCTTCCACAAAGGGCAATAAACCCCAAAACGATCGCCCTGCATAGAAACCATTCGCGTGCAGCGTTCAATTGCTACTCTTCATTTGCAGCTAAGCTATGCAAGACTAGCATCAGGGAACTTAGATTTTAAGTACCCTCCAAAATACGACAGAGGGGTGGTGATGCAAACATTTGTTGGCAATGGGGCGATAATTACCGCTGGCATAGCAGGGGGGCTTACGGATTTACAGTACAGAATTTAGAGTTCAACCGGATCTACTGAGCTGTGAAATCCTATAGCTTGCAGCAAAACGTGAATCGATGCCATAGGCCAGAACCATTGTGGTATGTTTCTGATTGTCCACCGCTGCCTGTCCTCTCGCGAACTCTGGTGTTTATTCCAGATTCGCCTGCCGTACTACACTGTTGCCCACTAGTTTACTGAGTGAAGAGCAGTAAATCCTAACGCTCGCACATTTGTAGGCGGCTTCTAATCCAGTCTTAGTTCCAAGATGAAGTAAACGAGGCCGAAGAGGGAGCGCTTTAAGCAGATTACGAGGAAGGAAGATGCCCCTCGGTAGGGCAACGGAGGAACTGGGGTTGTGAGAGGCACTGGCTACATGTATCGAGAGAATTCTACTTTCTTTTCGACCGATAGCAAATCCCCCTTCTGTTGCAGTGTATGGTCTACCCCATACACCGTAGCCGCCAAGTGTCGGGGTACTTCGAGTGCTTCCCCCTGCGCAGCGGAATGCAACTGCGCCATTAGCAGCACCGACAGCAGCATGACCAGCCGGTTGCGGATTCTATACGGGTCACACCTGCCGTGGTGGTATGAGCAAGAGGAAAGTGTCAAAACGCTGAGCCCGCTGGATGAAAGCAAGGGATGTCTTGCCATGCAAAAGGGATGCTTGATATCACAAACGATTGCTAAGGGCTTCTGTGTGTCTTAAGAAAATTGACCCCGGTCGATCTGTGAAGAAACTTGAGTAGGACACCCACAAGCAGCTTCGTTATGCTTCCTCAGCAATTCCACATGGCCACACGGCAGATATACTCAGATTGAACATATGTGCACACTTTCCAAAGCCCGCCAACCTCTCACGGACAAAGGTGTGCTCTGAATAAATATTAGTACTACCTTGCCTGACGGGGTGGTTGGAGTCAAGTTAGTGCCAGTAAATACATCGCCGTGCAGATCACGTTAACCGTTGAAACACGGGGTAGATGCTTGCAGAGCCTCACAAGCCCGCGTAAGCACAAAGGTTAACATGTGCTAGGTCTCTGGCACCATTCATGCGAGTGCAGAGATCACTAACAGGGCGGTAGTTACCCATTACACCCTAGCTATGGAATGTGCACGCTAGGGTTCCTCCCATGCACCCACCCACACGGATATATAACATCACTCCGATGTCTCTTTTACCTTTAACTATTAATCTTCCGATGCGGGGTTAATGTGGGGGAACCTGCTATCTTGATTTCACAAGAGACTGACTCTCACGTTTTCGAGGTGTCGACAACCTCCTGCCCCCATCCCCGTAAAAAGCCCTCTAGTCTTGCACCATGATACGCCTAAACTACAATTAAGTGTAAATTCCAAAGGAAGCCTTTAGTCCTTTTGCTCTAGTGTTCATACATGGGTAGAAACCAATCTGGCGATTTATTGGGGCTTTGTGTTGAGGAACAGAAGAAATGCACAGAGGACCGTGTCTTCTCCTCCCCAAATACAAGAATTCTCTCTCAAATAACAATTTTGAACAGGGTGATTGAGCTCGATAGTCTATCAAGAACAAGTCTCATCTGAATCTGCAATGCCCTTGGCCGCCGCTGGAGGCACCGAGGCATTTGAATTGCTGGTACGACCTTCTCATTGCTACTGTTGAAGCATTTCATGAAGGATCTTGCACCGCTTGGACATGGCATTCCCTGCACGGAGACCGTTTGAGGTATTGCTCTTTAACGCGGCTTTTCCCTCCGGGAAACGGAGTTGAACTTGACTGCGGTGTCGGTTCTAGGACCCAAGTGCTGCCAGCAAGTGCTTAAGCGCTCCTCCGGACCGCAACAAAACGTATCATCTCGTATCCCTGCAGCTCGGAGGCCCCGTAGCTAAACTTCCTGAGCAGGAAATGCTTACTCGCCTCCACACTCTCTTGCGGCATCCACCAAGGGTTTGCACTACCAGAGCTTCCGCCTCGCAGCCTCTGGTGTGTCGTAAACTTTTCAGTTCCGCCGTAAGGCAGCCAGGCAGAGTCCGTGGGCACGCATTGGCGTCTTGTCAACAGGGAGGGACTCAGTTTCAGCCCAGTGCTTCTGAAAGATGGAACGTGGGGCCAAGATACGTTTCAACTAATTCAGTTGGTGCAGAAGAGACGAAGATCTTGTACTCGAAAAGCCATGAATACGTTCGGTTTCTGACGCCCGATGGGTCCAAGGCAGCGGTCGGGGTTTCAGAGTTTGCAGCGGACGAACTGGGGGAAATAGTATTTATTGAGGCAGTGGTTCCGGTGGATAAGGAGACGCAGGTCAGAGTGGCTAAAGGAGATCCTGTCTGTGCACTCGAGGCCGTAAAAGCTGTGGCTGAGGTGTATGCTCCTGTTTCTGGGCACGTTATAGCATTCAATGAAAAGGTGAAGGAGGATCCTGGCCTGATTACAAGAGATCCAGAGGGCGAGGGCTGGATCTTCATGATGACCGTAGAACCATCCCAATCTGCGAGCGCAGACACTGACAAGTCACTGTCTCACGCTTCTGTCTGCTCAACTCTGCTTTCGCCAGCGGCCTACGCATCCCACGTACGGCGGGAAGCTGGTGCAGCTGATGAAAACTGAGTGGGCTGCACAAACACCGGACTCAGACTCCTTTAGTTTTTTTAGGTGCTTTTTCAGGCCAGTCGGTAAGCGGACTGGTTCTAGTTGTATGTACAATTCGGTGATGATGAGTAGCTTTTAGGCTGTGCCACAGTTCAGGAAGCGAGTCCTACCCAGCCGTCCCAACAGGCATAGTGCCCTGGGGGGAAGGCAGGGGGATCTAATGAACTCTAGGCCTACTTACGACTCTCTTTTTGGCTGCTTATGCGGCTTCATGAAAGGCGCCGTCTAATTATCCCTTCTAGTGCGCACTGAGTATACTGGGCAGGAGGAGATACGCTGTCGCTTGTACGGAGTCTGAACAGCACGAGGGCTAGAATGCGATGGTCTGTTTTTCCCTAGTTGGGGTGGACGCGTGCGCCGTAGTATCTTGGCAATTTAAACTCTTTTATTCAGTACCCCTTATGGCAGCCTACGGCAAGTACGAGGCACCAGAAGGACGCACTTTGTAAGGGCAAGGAGGAAAACCTTGGCCTGCTGTGCGTGCCATCGTGCTGCCCGGTGGCTCCCATGGCGCCTTCTGTGCGCCGACGAGCCGTTCCGCTTTTTGCACGATTCTTAATAAACAGAAGGCACGAAGGATCCATCTTCAGCGAACCCTGTAGGGATCGAGAGGGGCCCTGCCCTGAGGCCTCCCGGCAAGTAGCTGGCCGTTTTCTGCGCTGAAAACGAAGCTCTATCCGCTGTAACTTTTGCTATTGACTGTAATTAAAAAGGCCAAAGCATCAAATCGAAGTGCAGTTTGCTCTCACGCTGTCTCTGCACGGGAATCCAGCGCCAAGCGCCCCCCCGAGTGCCCCCTCGGACTTAGGGATGATACTCAGGCCCTCGAGGAGGGACGACTGCAGTCACCGTGTGGGAAATAAACCTTTCCCATGAACCGAATTCTCACTAATGCCATGTATCTGCGCTAGCTTCTAGCCTCCGCCGCCTCTCTGTATTCTTGCGGCTTTGTCAATGGCGACCCCCCAGGGCATTCCCCCGTCCCTGACGAAGGAGGCTTCCCCGACAGAGGCAGACTCAGCCGAAAGTGAAGAGTCTGCAGCAAGGCTTCCCAGACGGAAGCTGCTGCATGCCCTTGAGAGGATACACGCGGCCTTAGGAGCTTCTCCTGGAACGCGGCAGGCCTTTGTTGCTTCTGTGCGAGTGTGGATCTCCGAGGCGAAAGACGCCGCTGCCGAGGCTGGATCTGTCCATGCGTTTTCGGCGTTGCGGGAGATCGGCTGCGAAGCTGTGGAGCTGCTGCTCGCCGATCAGGGCCAGTGGAAAGTGTTGCTGCAGCCTGCAGAATGCGGGGATCCAGATCGCACGGAGCAGCTCCGTTCACCACTGCACCCGCGGTTGCTTTGTGGTTGCTTCCTCGTGTTGGAGGGCCTCCTGGAAGGCTCAGAGGCGGCTGTAGGGGACCTCCCCCTCGACCTCCGTGCTGCGGATGCGGTTGCTGCTGCCGTAGAAACCCTGCGAGTGCTGCCCGCAGCTGCAGACTTCGCGACAAGGGGGCAGCAGTTCTCGAAATGCGCACGCACGAAACACCTTGGCAGAGCCAGCAGAAAGGGCATGGAGGCGCAGCACAAGGAAAGTGCACAGCGTCGCTCGCAGCAGCAGAGGCTTCCGCTTGATCTCAGTGCTGCAAGATTTCCCACGATTGCGGCTTACGCAGACGTAGAAGAGGCGAGGGCCCTCCATGGCGCTGCCGTTTCGCTCCTCGTTCGTCTCGTGGCAAGCTCTTCCTTGAGTCGCTGCAGCGCTGGCGAAGACGGCATCACCTCGACGTGGTTGCTCTGTGAGCTCAAGCGGAGACTCTCCGAGACAGTTCGGGAGCAGCAACAGCAGCAGGGAGATAGCCTCCTCCTCAGTAAGCAGGCAGTGGCATCCGCGGAGGCGCCCTCAACTGCAGATACCGCTCAAACACTCAAAGGGCTCAACTTTGCTACTCTTGTTGCCCTCGCGAGGGAATTCTGTTCTAAGGCCACGCAAACGGCCAATGAGGTTCGTCAGGTTGCTCCGTCAGGCTGTCTTTGACATCCCCTGTGCTGCCTATATATCTATATATATATAATATGAACATCCCCTGTGCTGCCTATATATCTATATATATATAATGGACATCCCCTGTGCTGCCTATATATCTATATATATGCTGATGCTGTCGCCGCGCATAGACCTTTTGAGGCCGTGCGAACACTGCGCTTGCTGCGCTGCTGCCGTGTCAACTGCCTGCGCGTTTGTTGTTGCAGCATGTGTGACGCATGCGCCGTACAAATCACGCTGGGCTTGCCTGCTGAAGGGGTGGCTCCTTATGTGTAGCTGCGTGCGTCTTAGGCGCTGCGTCCACGACTGCAGGAGGAATTGGGGCTTTTTGCTCAAGAAACGGCGCCGTTGTTACAGGATATCCTTACGGTTGCTACATTGCAGCCTCTGGCTTCCACGGCACGCCGCTATCTTTTGCCCGCAGTGCTTTCTCTGATGGCATTTGAGGGAGCTTCGGCCTTCCTTTTTGCCGCGTTGCACCGTCTGCTAGCGGGCTTGACGCCTTCTCCTCCTGCCCCTGCTACGAACCAGACTGCAGGCAGCAGTGGGGGCACCTGCAGCGAGAAGGGATGCCGCTTATGGCTCAACAGAAGCAGTGTGAGCTTGGACGTCTTCGCGATGCTCAGAAAGACGGTGCCGCCTCCGCGCTGCGGGGAAGCCTTCCATTTGGCGCTCCAGTATCATTCGCTCTTCCTGTCTCCAGAAGGCCTTCCCCCTCCAAAGTCTCTCAGTGCTGCTGAGCAGCGGTTCGTACGCCAAGTGCGATCGCATCCTGTGTCACGCGATGCGTCTTCACCCGCTGAGACTCTTTTGCCACCAAGCGGCGAAGCGCAGAGCGAAAGGGAATGCGCTTGGGGGCCTTCAGACATCCGATGGCGGTGGCTTTTCTGGGGTTTGGCGTGCCCTGTCATTGGCTCTGTGCGCAGCAACGCGCGGCAGTTGATGCAGCAGCTGCTGGCTGTACAGACAGCGCACGAGGAGCCCTTGCAGAAACGTATGCAGGGCTGGGGTGACGCAGCAGAACCCTACAGCTGCCCTCCGGCATCCGAGAAACGCCCTTGTATCACCGCAGATGATCAGAGGTTGGGCTGGAGCTCTTTCATGCAGCTGCTGGAGGCCTTAGACGACTTCTCTCAGCATCTTATCCAGCAGCAGCAGCAAACGCTCCGTGGGCTCTGCGCGATTGCTGCCAAGGCAGCAGTCAGTCAAACCTGCGGCAGACAGGCAAGGCCCCCCCCGCTCAGTGTACAGCCGCTGTGGGTGGAGGCGGTTCTGCTTAGAGCCTTTGCTCACGACAACGCCCTCCTCAGCAGGTCGTTCTTGCTCTCTTTCATGAAGTTGTGTTGTGACGGGCTAGGTGCTCCCCCCCAGTGCCACCAAGGGAAGGCTCAAGGGCCTCCCTCGCTGTTGCTGTGTGTCTCCCTCGATTTTGTGTTGGGGGCACTCGTGCCGCATATTGCAGTGCCCTCCTTCTTCTGCCGGAGCAACGACTGCCGCCAGGCGGAGGCTACGGTGCAGAAATTCTTGCTGAAAAGACTCGCGCTCGAGGCCTCCGAGCTGCAACAGCAGCGGGGGCAGCAACAGCAGCACCGTCTCGAGGTGGCAGACGAGGAAAGCAATTTATCCTGCGTTGCGCAATACCTATCGGCCGTGGGAGAGCATTGCTACACATATACGCCACTTCGCATCTTCCTCGACGCACTGCTGCTGCCGGGAGAAGAGCTCTCCCTACTGCGGCAACAACAGCAGCAACAGCGGGAGCAACAGGGGCAAATCTTCCTAGAGGCCATCAGTCGCCTCTTTGGCGTAATCGCGACAACGCCCCATTGCGTTAGAGGGGGCCTGTATGAGCGGTTGCTGAGAGTTGTGGCTGTTCACGCCTCACCTGGAGCCTTGTGTCTTTCCGCAGTGGGCTGTCTCCTCAAGGCACTCCCTTGGACGTTCTTCGTAAGGCAGATTCGGGAGGCATCTGACTGGTGCGGCAGCTTGCGAGGCACCTACAGCAGGAGCAATGAGCTGGAGGAGACAGGGGAGGCAGAGCAGGAGCCGGCGTTGCTGCAGCTGCTGCACGCTGCCTTTCCGTCCCTAGATGACTTTGGCTATGCAGTGCAGCAGTTGGTGCAGCGTAGCCTGACAACTAAGGGGGGCACTCAAGAGGAAGCGAAAGAAGGCCAGTGTCAGCGGCTCCGAGAGCACCACGCAGCCTTCATGCAGGCGCGCTTGTTGGCGGTGGTATCTGCTGTTGTGCCTCATCACGAGGCTTCAAGTGTGAGGCACGACGGCAAACTGTAGAGTCCGCCATGGCATCGCTACTGCTGGTGCCCTTCCTACGCCTTCGCTTTACAGCTGCGAGGCTCCCAGCTAAGAACGACGATTGGCTCTCAGCACAGCGGGGATTCACACGTGGATCGTTCTTGTTGGATGGCCTTTGATGGCATATATGCTTGCGGATTGGTGCTGGTTCGAATGCTGCAGGCCGTGGCAGCGAGCTGCTTCGCGTCTGAGGTCTACCAGAACGAGAAAAGACTGTTGTTGTTAGCAGCACTCGCCCTGGAAGGCGTTGTGCTCAAGCTTCCTACACCCCAGAGCCTTGCTTCCGCATCCGCAGTAAGCCTGTCAGGCTTTGAGAATTTTCGAAGATTCGACTGTCCCTGCGGTAATTTAGCAGAGGACGCCCAGCTGTGCATACGAATGCAGCCACCGATTGTGTCTGCGTTCCGCGCTGCTGCTTCCTTTACCGCGATTTGTCGTGATAATTATGTCTTCTGCGGTGTCACCCTTGCAGCCTCTTATCGGACTTGTTTGTGCTGCCTCAGTACCTCGACGAGACGTGTATGGCTGTATACAGCCTTTTCACGGGCCTTTCCCGCGCTTTGTTGGCGGCCTCACCCCCTGCAGACACTCAAAACGTCCTATTCTGGTTAGCTTGCGGCAATAACAGTGCTCCCGCACTCTCATTTCACTCATGGTGGGGGGCAGCCGTCTTGGGGCCTAAGAGAACGTAGCGCAGCTGCAACGACCTCGTAGGGTATTGCCGCTGCCGCTTGTGCAGTGTACATACAAGTCTCTGGTTGAAAGGGGAAATACCGGGCGAGCTAATAAACGACCCAGGGATGCAGAGCAACGCCACGCGATGCTGGAGTCAGGCACTGCATAGACTTGTGTAGCTGCACGTTGCTCTGTGCTGCAGGCCCCAGGCGGCCGGTACGTACGGAGGCATGTGGTCAAGCATGCAACAGCATATTTGTGCTCTGAGGTGCCTAATGTGCCTCTGCCCCTCAAAAGGACTTGTGGAAGGCTTTGAAGCGCTTCCAGAGATGTCCTTAGAGGCAGCCTTTGCCCCCGTTAGCAGCGGACGGCGCATCAGCTCCCCAGCTGCTCTGCTGTTGATGGCAGCTGTTGCCGCGCTTGGGAAATGGGGCATTCGGCATGAGGCGCAGACCACTGGAGGTGAGCATTAAGCTTTCTTTCCCAAGCGTGTATGTGCCAGCAGTCGCACCCGCATAGCCTGAAAAGCCTCAGTCAGAGAATTTGAGGCAAGTCCGTGGGGTGACAATAAGGCGAAGGCTCAGCGGGATGCTTGGCAGGCACCGATCCCCGATTGCTTCATCCGAACGTTATGCTGCGGAATGCGGGGTGCATGCATGCTGCAGCGCATTTGCTGCTGGTCGCAACTGCTGTCGCCGTCATTGGGGCCTTTATAGGGGCTTCGCAGAGCGCCAACCTTCTGGACAGTCCAGAGGTTTCAGAGGGGCCTCTCCTGCAAGGCTTATGGGTTTGTGCCAACGGCCTTATTGGCTCTTCCATGAACAGAAAAGCTCTGGCGGCTCTGAAACACGCGGCATTGCCCCACGCTGAGCTGCGGCCCGCAGACGTTGGTGCAAATGCGGAAGGTAAGCTCGCCGTACTAGGGTTGCAGTCGGAAGAAGGGGGCAGCTCAGCCACAAACAGGGCAAGTGCATTGCCTTCCTCCCTCCTGTTCTCGCGCATCAGCCGTTGCTGCTCCCCTCCTACCGGATACACCGTACAGTGTGCGCTCTGTGATGGCTTACCGGGGAAGCGAGTGTTTGCGTCGCCACGTTTTCTGGAGCTTGTCTTTTCGCGTTCACCTGGCCGTTCAAGAAACCTTCTTGAGCCCCCGTGTGTGCTGTGTGTGGCCTCTGCTGCGCACATGAAACAGCCTTGAGTTCATCTGCATGGATCAGTCCAGAGATCTGTCCCCTACCGGAAGGGCTGAAGTCATGGGCAACGTGGCTGGATGTTGTCGCATGGTTCTACAGGAGCAAAGGCGATGCCCTGGCGACGCTTTTTGCAGCAGGACCTCTCGCTGTAGCGGCTAGCGCAGCTAATGCCCCTCTCGAGAGACCGCAGCATTTGAAGCTTCTGCCACGTTGCACGCCTGCCGATGGTGCCAGAGCATATGTTGCGCGGGTAGCAAGCTGCCAGCTGGCGCACCGTGCATTGATGCCGCCGAGCGGCTGTCCAGCTGGGGCAGGTACAGCAGCTGAATTGCCTGAGGAACTCGAAGCAAAAGCAGCCAACGCTGCTCCTGAAGCGACTGCAGACCCTCTCGGTGTTGCCCTACTGCTGATGCAGGAGATCGGGAGGTCCTATGTGCATGAGACTCCAGGTCTATTGCAGGCCGTAGCTTCCTTCGCTATTCCGACGGTGGCACAGCGTGTCGTGGGGAGTCACCAGGAGTCACAGAACTCACGAAAGCTTACAAAAGACACAGCAACGGCTGCACACGCTGTCCTAGCTTCCTTTGTCACAGACTGCAGGAGGCTTATTCAAGACCGGTCCGAGATGGCCATGCCGCCAAGTCTCGTTGGAAGACTCTGCTGTGTCGTCTTGCATCCACTCATGATCGAAGCCGAGTGGAAGCTCGCGGGGGTTATTCTGTCTTCTCGAGAGGCTGCACCTCCGTCGGTAGCTTCAAGCCAATCGGATGAACTCCCCAATGACAACACGCCCGTGCCTGATGGCCTCTACTTTGTCTTTGAATTCGCTCGTGACCTCCTGGCGGAGGGGGCTGCCAGTCTGGCCCTTTCACGCGCCGTCGTCTGTGCGTCATCACCGAGCTTGAATCCCATAGTTCTGATTCCTATGATAGCACACGATCTAAACGTTTTAGCTGAGCTAATGTTATATTCATATATTTGTACACGTTCTAATGCCGGGCAGGCATATATATATTTATGTCTTGAAAGGTCTGGCAGCGGGTGTTTTTTATAGCACCCGAGTGTTTACAATATAGGATGCCTTCCTGGTTACTCAGAGCGTTCTACCTGCTTTCACATGTGCTAAGCTGATGCTGCTGCTTTGGCTCCCCTTGTGGGTGCGTGTCTTCAGTGCCGTTGCTGTCCTCGCTCTTCCGTGCCGGTAACGCGGCCTCTCAAGGCATCCCAGCCGGATTCTCCTTGCCCCCCATGTACATCCGGCTGCTGGTGAGCATTTTGTTGCATCGTGAGTTTGTGCTGCTCGATGGAGATGGCGGCGCGTGTCCAGCGGAGCCCTTCGAGGAGGATACTTTCTCTGCCTCCCCGTGCTCTACCACCCCACTGAAGACCACCAGCAACACGGACGAGAGCAACAGCAGCGTCGGCAGCACACAGGCAGTAAACACCTGCTCACGGTGCGGTGAGCTGTGCGGCCTATCGGAACTGGACCCTGCTGCCTTCTTCTTTTCCAAGTTCCCAGCCTGCAGAGAGCCAAATGCACTGCCTTGCGGAGGACTGCGAGTGACCAGCTCATCCCGCTGTTTCTCCCCGGCCCTTTCTTTGCTGCCGCGCATTCTGCCTCGCCGATTCGCACGCCTTCAACAGACACCAGCATTCGTGCGACTGCTGACGCTGGCGCTTCTTGACGGGGTGTGTGGTTCTCTGCCGCCGTATGGCACACCCCAAAGCTCCTACGAGGCGTTCCTAAGAAACACTGTCTCGGCCGTCTTCCGCTGCCTAGCCACTGAGGCAATCGAGTCCGTGTCCTCTCACGTGGAGGAAATCGAGGAGGCAGGATTTCCTGATACGAACAGGGGCCTCCAGAAACCTGGTGTTGCTTCGTCTACGGAGGCGCGTCTTCCAATGCCCAACTCGGCAAAGCATCGCAGGCAACTGCGTGCCTGGCAAGCGCTCTCCTGCTTGTCATGCCATGCCCGCTCACTCGTTATTGAAGCGTGCGAAGACCTGGAGAAGGGCGTTTGGGGTGTTTTGAACTGCCCTCTCATGCCCGACGTGAGGCACTACGTCGAGTTCGTTGCTGTGCGGCTGGCGCGAGGGGCCCCTCATCGCTGCGTGCCGCAGATTGTTGAGACCCTTAAGCGGTATAACGCCTCTAGGCAAGTGCTGATTAGTGCTTTATCCATAGGTGGATATATTCTTTCTAACATCCACAAGTGGTTGCCCAAAGGCGAGGAGGAGATGCTGAGCCAAACGGTGAGCATGCTGCTCGAGGCGATCACGCCATACCTAACTTCTAACGCGGCGTATTGCCGTGCCACTGCGCAATTTCTTGTTCACCGTTTTATGTCTCTTGAGACCGTTGACCACCAAAAGGAGGTGCCCAGTTCTTCGAAAACCGGCGAGCACAAAAGAATCAACGTCCTCCCCCAGCTTTTTACGATGCTAGATGAAGCTAAGGAATGCAGAATGATGGCCTTCAAGGTCGCCGCTGCATTCAGTCGATGGGATCCCGAGCTCGACGGCGGCATCTGCAGCCTCATTCCTGAGTCTGGCATTTTAGTGGAGACCACTGAGCAGCACGGTGAGACCCTCTCTGGGAAGCAGCAAACTCTATGTTGTGAAATAAGGCTTTTCTGTACTCTTCAGCGTAGCTGCACAAAGTTACGAGGAAGCAGCGCCTTATTTAAAATCTCACCTCGTTCAAATCTTGCCGCCTTGCGACACGGCTGTCTGAGTGTACCTTGGGGGTCATCGTGGGAACTGCGGAGTCGGGGGCACTGTGAGAAGCGTCCTGGCATCTCGTGCAACATAACGGCGGGGCACCAGTGCTTTCACTAAAAATGTCTCCTTTCGCACATTGAATGGCTTTCCATGTCTCCTGACGGTGCTGGCGGCTGCCTTCCTGGATGTGTCGCCGCTGTAATGCATACATGCGAGCCGCATGTGCTGTCTGCAGAAGCGGCTCTGATGGGCCTTGGTGTGGTTGGAATAGCGGAGACGGAAGAGACTCACAACCGTCGCTTTGCAGATGTTTTATCAGACTTTGACTTGAGACCCTCCTGGGCCCTTGCAGTGGCTCTCAAAGAAGCCGTGAAGGATGAAATGAAGAGGGTTTGGCACTCTGAAGGCGCTGCAGAGGAATTTCCGCAGCTCCATGATAGAACAGCGCTGCTCTCCGAGAATGCCGAAGTCAAGCCGTTTGAACCCCAAGCAGCTGAAGCAGGATCCCCAGGCCCCTGCCAAAGGAAATTTGTCCCCGAGCAATACGGAGTGGTGGTGCGACGAATGATGCATACGTGTGCCTTGAGGTTGTTGAGACCAGCGCTTTCGCAGCCCTTCCTTGAATACTGCACCAGCCAGGCGTACAGCCTGTTGCGGGTCACAATCGTTGGACCTTCCATGCACTAAAGCCGCACTCGGTAGTAGATCTTAGGGCTTCAATGCCCTGTGAAAGCCTATCAGTAGGCCGTTGTGTACACGTATTCACACGTGCTGCAGGAAGCGCCTTCTGCTTGCCTCCTGAGCGGAGACGCAGCGGCTAGCTTTAGCGCCCTGAGGCAGCGCAGCGACCTTATTGTGATCGCCTCCCTCGTGAACAAGAGTCCCAATTTGGGGGGCCTCGCCCGCACATGCGAGGTTTTTAATGTCAGGTCGGTGGAATGAAAGAGCCTCTGTGCAGGTGGCCATTGCTTAGCGCCTCCGTTCAAAGGGTACCTGGGAAGACACCAGTAGAACCTATGCAGAGTCTCTATCTGTGGTGTGTCATCGCGCAGGGCACTTGTGGTGAACTCGCTGGATCTACTGAAGGACTCAATTTTCAGAAATATATCTGTTTCTGCGCATCAGTGGCTTCCCATGACCGCAGTAAGAGTCTTCAATCTGTTGTTTCTGCAGAAAAGTCACTCTCCATAATATTCAGCCTTCGCCTCCTTTGCGTGCGCCCGACGGGCAGGTGGCAAACGGTTTAGGCGTCTCGAATTTTTCCCGCAAGCAGTATTTCCTAGGATCTGGATCGCACGTATTACCTAGATTTGCTGGTGTCCGCCACACAGGTGCCTGCTGCCACCTTGCCAGGTTACTTTAATGCCCTGCGCGCTGAGGGATATTCTATTGTTGGTTTGGAACAAACTGCATCCTCTCACGTGCTCGGCGAGTTCGCCTTCCCTAGAAAGACGGCTCTGGTCCTAGGAGCTGAAAAGGAAGGCATGCCGGCCCCGCTGATGTCTCACATTGACCACTGTGTGGAAATTCCGCAGGTAATAAAAACTGTTGCTTTGCGTCAACGCCCCAGTTATATGTCTAACGAGGTATCAGGGGGGATAGGCAGAAGTGGAGGAAGGCTTTAGGGTTGCAATGTACTGAATCTTGTGCTATCTACCGACTATGCCTTCAGCTCGGCCTCATTCGCTCTCTCAATGTTCACGTTTCCGCGTCCATGTGCATTTGGGAGTACGCGAACCAGCATCTGCTTTGAGCCTCGGGTTCGCCGTTACCCCAGCCGCCTCCTGTGTTATGTCGAAGCGGTCGAGAATACAACGAGATAGTTGAGACCGGCTCACCCCCTATTCCGCTACCGATATCAGCCAGAGGGAACAGCAGCGCCACCTTTTTACAATCAGGGGGAGGGCCTCAGGTAGAGGGAAGCTTAGCTGCGCTCACAGTGGCAGCTGCCCTATTCGACGCGCACAGTTGTGCGAACAACCGGAATCTCGGAGGGTTTTCTAATCCTTTGTATTTCTCATGTGTATGTAGATAATCCGTTTTATCAGTGTGAGGCCAAGTGCTCAGTCAGAAAGATACGGACCCCGGGGGTTGGTGAGATAATGCATGTAGTAGAAGGTCAGTGGGCTGCTACGGCCACGCACTATCCACCACGTATTGCCTGCTACAAATCGCCCAAATTTTATTCTATCAGCGTCTCTGGATCGTACAACCTGCCCCTATACATTTGGGAGATGTTGGCAGCACGCAACGTGCCAGCCTGTGTCCCGTCCTGCTGCGAAGAGACCTTTCTGCGGAATTTGCTGAATTTTGAGATCACAAGAGGGAAAGGAAATCTTTGTGAAGCTGAGAGGTGTTATCAGGAGCAGCCCCAAGCCACTAGGGGGTGGCAAATGAAGCATAGCCTACTCGTAAATTGCTATATTTGCTGGGAAGTACAATCGGCACAACAGCAGGCAGGAAGCGCAGCTGTGCAGACATGCGGGCAGGTAGCTCTGAATCAAGAGCATTAAGAAAGGGTGAAGGCAAGTGCGCAAACAGAGCTACACTCAAGCGTGGCACTGAAGAAATATGGAGACGGTGCGACGTCCAAGGTCGAGGCTTCTGCCCATGGCCTTGCGCGCGCCAGCGGTGCTGTCGCCACTCCCCAGCTGTGTGGTAGGGTCTGAGCTCTTGTAGATGATCATAAGTCATGGCTATTGGCAATACAATACGCTTCAGGTGCGAAGGAGCACGATATTATGGAAGACACGCACTGAGAGAGAGCCAGCTAACGACAGCACGCGAGGACCTTACGTATCCTATAGATATATATATACTTCCACGAGAACAGCTGAGCAACGGCGAGCACGCACTGAAGCGCATAAATACTTGTTGCGCTTTGACTGTGGAATGTTCGCTGTTAAGAAGTGCGTCTAGAGAAAACGACCTCCCTGCCACGCGGGGGCCCCTAGATCTCCTGGTGAGGGGACCTCAAGCAGGAACATCCCAGAGTGTCTAAATAAGGAGGAATCAGCAGGAGTTTTTCTGTTGCCTCTTGTTAGGCCGAAGCCGCTTGGTGCAGAGTGTCTACTACTCTACTAATCAGTCAACGAGTTGCAAGGGGTGATCCTAGAACCCCTCGCTCACTCCCTACTTTACACACTTTGGCCAAAACAGATATTTGGCCAGCAAATGTGTCGATATCGTCACCTTAGACGTGTATACTTGCGATTTTCCGGGTTCCCTGAGGAAGCGATAGTGAGCTGCAGCAGCATCGAAGTGCCACATACGGGATTTGGGGGTCGAGGGAAGCAGACTGGAAAATTCTTAACCACAGTGCGTAAGCATGCTTCTTTTCTCCTGTGACCCCCAGGGTGCTGAAACTGGGCTATGAATCAACTTGCCCTGCCATAGACGCCACACTACCACCCTTATGGCTTGATTGCCTGCCCCATTCGATGATTTAACTATGCATCCGTCCCCCCTGTATAATCGACCTCTTCCTTCAACAGCCTCGCACGAGGTGGAGCCGCAATCGGTGTATAGACACCAAGTGCGCGTGCATGGCGGTCGTCTGTGCCCTTATTCGCCGGCACGGGGACACGCCAAATATTAGAGGGCACCTACAGGCCTCGTAGGCCGGTAAGAGCCCTTTTCTGTGGGTCGAATTGTGTTTGAGAGATTTAATGGCCAAAGAAGGAGGAGGGGCAGATCAGCGAGCTGCACAAACTTTCAAGTTGCCCTCAGAATTCGCCCTATCGCGGCCAGGATCTAGGCTGTTCATCCAGAAATACGTGTAAAATCGTAGCGCCCCTATAAGGTCTCTTCTTCACACCTTCACACAGGTATTCAAGTCATTGTGACTGTATGGGTGACGATTTTCCCCTTTGGTACGCATGCGGCCTCACGGAAGTCCCATGTTCGCGTTTGGCGGTCTTGAATTTTTCTACCCTTTCTCTTGGACGGCTCCGCTGCGAGTGCCGTGCACGTGCATAGAGCCTCAGGGAAAAGCGGGCGCGGTTGTCTACCAGGCTCTCGATAGCGGGAGTGTACAAACCTGACCTGCTGCTTTTTCTCCACGCCTTCAGCGCAGGCCAAGGCGAGGTTCCACATTGCAGTCGTCCCCCTCTTCCCCCCAGACCTAGACAGCTACAATTACTGCGGTAGAGTCTCTATAGCGTGACTGAAGGTGTGCGGAGCGGCATCCAGCACGGGCATTCCTCTCCTAAGTGCTTGTCACAGCGTATTCTAGTTCCTCCATCAATGAGAAGTGTTAACATCTCGCGGTGAGGGAACGATCCTTAGGTCTTCACATGAGTCACTCCGCGCACAGTATCATTCCATCCACATACACTATATATGTTACTCTTGTGCTGGTGCACCTTCTCCTCTATGCAGCCTTCGAAAGGGCCGGAGCGTCTAGAGGCAGCAACCTTGCAGCTTTTCGTTCCTCTCTTCCTCATTTTTGTTGTAGCAAAACGTTCTGCGCGTTGCGCTCATGACGTTATCCTTCAGGATGTAACCAAATGACTTGCTTCTTCCCGACGCTCTCCAACAAAGGAATTAAACACCTGCTTCTAAGAGGGACGCCGAGCAGCAAGGTGCTCACCATTCGCGAGACAGGCGATCCAGGGGCCCTAGGCCTTCGGCCGTTCCTTCGCTTCTGAGCCAGAGACTCGGTAGCCTGTATTCAGCAAGGCGCCCTCTTGCGGACTTAGGGTGGGGAGGCTTACTACATAGACCTTGAATGGTCTCGAAGGGGGTCTCTGAGGGTCAAAGAAGGCGGAAAGGCACGCAGCAAAGATGCGGAGGCTTCCGAGACACGGAGACCGGCGCAGTCTGGTTCCTGCTTGCATATCTTTGCCCTTTGCGTATATCCGAGCTTGTTCTGTGCTTCTATGGGCTCAGCGTGTCGGCTCGTAGCGTCAGGAGTAGAATGGCGTGGATGCTAGGAGGTTTAGCGTGTTGTAGGGAAGCTTGTATGACATTTTATGTAGACCCAGAAATTCTGTGTAATGTGATCCTTTATGGTTGACCGCTCGAAAGAGTATTTTAGCACCATCACAGGCGGTGTTGGTTTCAAGTAATGTGAAGCAGAGAATATACAGGGTGCCCCTTTCCACTACTGCATGGCTCTTGGGAAAAGGCATTACTGGCAATACCAACGGCGGCAACGTTTGTGGCAACCGAGGCACCGGAAAGACGGCCAGTGCTGATGCAGGCCCTGCTGAGCCTCCCCGCGGTGTCGAGCCTGCTGCAATTCGTAGAAACAGGTGGGAACGAACGCGTTGAGGAGAGCTAGGCTGATCAAAACAATTTCGCGGAGAGCATGCCATAAAAGCCTCCTTGCTAGGTCTTGCACAGGTCATGTGCTGCCTAAGAAAGAGGCAAAGAGCAGCCACTCTGCCAGTGACATCTGCAGCATTCCTCTGAGCAACAGGAAGTACCGTAGATATAACAAGCTCACGCGGCTTTTAGAGGGCGAATGAAGGACCATCAGCACGGTGTCGCTGACTGCTTGCGTGTCGTCCGTCCTCTTCCTGAGATGCTATAGATACGCCCTAGACTCTGAATCATGCAGACAGGGCTTGCCTCATGCCTTGCATCCCTACGTCTTTTATTGCCACTCTCCGTGGAGAAAGTACTGATTCAAGAGGCAGCGTGAGCTTGGAAAGCAGCGCACACGATCCTCCGCCTGCTCCTGATAGGGAAGCTGACCTCGGACCCCAACGCTAACTGCGCTCGGTTTCTCACATCTTCCTTGGTTCTCTCTCGTGTGCAACTTTTGCACGCTCTTCCTGCTGCTTTATGCGTGTGTGTGTGTGTGTGTATGTGCGCCTCTCGCTCGCGTGCTTGCGGCAATTGTGCCTCACAGCGCCCCTGCTGAGCAGGTCTCTCCGTTCCCTTTGTAAAGAGCCGCAGACCTTAAGAAGGCTCCTTTTTTTTCGCGCGCAAAAATACCCAACACCAGCGCCTTCACACCATCATGAATGACAGCAAGCTGAGGCATGCGAGGAGCAGGCGCTTGCTGCTGCCCCAGAAGCAGACTGAGAGGAAATGACTTGGACGCGTACTGTCTTAGTAAAGATACTATTGTGCCTATCTGAGCACTCCAGGGTCTCTTCTTCTGCGTGTGCTTTGCTACCACCCTCCTTTGCCATAATCAATATGTGCATACATGTGTCGCAACGCGCTTAGCTGCGTCCATATCGTAGGGGCCGATGCCGCACTCGCGCTTGCCGGTATTGTGGCTCGTCTTGCTGCAGTGCCTTGCCGATGAGGCTTGCGTCTGCGGCAGCGCATGCAAAAGAGCTAGAAAGCCATTTTACCGGGTAAAGGAGCGTCAGGCCAGTGTGTATAGCGGCGCAGTGTTTGCGACCCCTCCAGTGCCACGCGACTTGCCTACTGTGCCTCAAAAGCGGCGTTCTGCCCCGCTAAGCTATGACTTCTGTCGTTTGTTGTGAAATAAGGTACGTATATCTTTAAATTTAGCTGAAGCAAAGTAAATTTCTGGCTTCCCTGCTTCTGAAAGGCGGCAACACTTGCAACAGGATTGAAGGGCGTAGAGAAGAAAACTGGAGGGACTGGCCGCTTGCAAAGACGCCAATCAACGACCCTTCAGACGGCTGCCGTTGTGTGTTGT